TTTCGAGTAATTAATCCACAAAACTCCATATTTGCATAAACATCCGCGGTCTACTTGTCAGATACATTACAAACGAACCAACAATCACCGTAACAATTGTGTACACGCTTCCACTCGATGGAAGAAAGTATAATATAGCACGAGTCTGCCGGACGAGCTCTGATTGGTCGGGGTTTTTCGTTGATATCTCGTTAACGAAGCCTCGGATAACATTTTTGCTAAGGAAAAACTTGTCCCAAATCACCTCACGAATGACCTCATTTCTTTTGTTACACCCTGTATATAGTCTTTTCGTGACACAAAGGGTTGTCAAACCCCGTTTTTTTCGCCCAGTCGTTCGTAAAAGAGATTGAAGACGAACTTTAACGAAGTTTACCGAATAACTGGAGCCCAGCGGCGCGTTAACTCTGCGGGCTTCTGGATCGCTTTCACGAGGGTGAAAAAGTTTTTCTTCCTCGAGTTCTATCCGCGAACACGGCAGGTATATCCTTCGCTTTCCTTTTCCACGGCAATCGGACGGCGAAACAGAGAGATTAGCTAACAGGTGTTCCAGGTAAAGCCCCGGCTGGGCAGGGTCGATTACACGCTCGCCTGTGGAACCTAGGAACCTCCAGCGATAAATCTTCCCTCGGCCGCATAAAAGGGGATCTTTGCGGAAGCACCAGTTTAAAACTCGCCAACACACTTAACCGCGAGAAAACGCTGTGGAACGGCGACGAATTTGTTTAATGGAACGGCGACAACTTTTCATGTGTTTTCTTCCCTTTGTTGAATTGAATGTCTGGTGTGTTTTGTACTCGTTTGAAATAATAGAGAACAATTTGTAACAGTAGTTGTTTAGTGTTAGAGAACAATTCAAACTAATTTTATGGACCCAGTTCCTGATCAGGACACAATTAAATAAGTAAGATTATTAAGTTTTTTCCAAAAGCTTTCTAAATAATTATTAACTATTTTGAAATTTATACGTAAACTTTAACAGTTAAATTATAATTGAATTATTATCATTTTTGCATTTTTGTTACCACGAAGTTAAAGGTAAAACATAGATTTAGTTGAATAACAACAGTTCTTTTGGATAATTTTTCTACTTATACGTTACATGAATCGCGATGATTACCTTTAAGTGATCAGGAGCTGCATTATAGTAGACTAGAAAATACTACCACAATAATATTATTGTAATCCGCTAACAATAGTAGAATAGAAATAGATCAGAACGTGGTCAGTTCCGTTTTTTCATAAAATGATATAACTACTAAAAATTGTATTAGAAACTAGAGGTGGAATGGAATTGAAAAGAATCGAACGCAATTTCCGAGAAGTATCGCGATAGAAAGAGCTAAGGCGAACTTGAGGCGAAGATATCGATAAAGAGGCACTCGAGTCACGTTGGACGTCTCCTTGAACGCTTAAGGTTCAATCATGGCGTATGCTCGCGAGTCGTAGTTGGGGTAGGTCAGGCTTCGATTATATTTAGAATCGTCACGTAGAGACCGGCACAGTCATTAGTAATATATTCAATTCGAGCCATTTAACGGATCTGCCGGATGGTCGTGATCTAGACGTGACGGATCCGTCCAATAACGCGGGCAAATGTTTTGCTCCTAGGCTCCTATCGAGTCAAACACGATTAACCCTTCTCGTGATCCTGGAATCGATTGTCCTATTTCACGTATACACTACAGAATTATCGATAATTTCTGCCAATGATCATTCGAAATATAAAATATATCCATTAATACCCTGGGGCTCTAATACTCCGGATTAGCCTGGACCAGGTTGTACGGATTACAGCCAAGATTGGGATCGAATTCTCTTTGACAGAATCTCTTTATGTTCGAAACAGGATAAGTCCATTCATCGGGTGTGGTAGTCGAAAAATAACCCAAAAGAAAGGGAAAGTGAAATTGTAGAAGTCTTCGAATCGAAAAGGGATCCACGTGGCTTTAGGATCATTCCTGTTAACCGACACCCAAGTCCGTCACACCGAGTACGCCACGCTAACCGTACATTCAAGGCCCATAGTTAGGGCAGGTTAGGCTTGGACAGCGCCCAGTTTGCATCAATTTACGCTTAACCTTCCGTCGTCGATCGTTCGGGTTACCGTCGCGGTGTGCACCTACTTTCGCACTCGGAAAACTCGTAATCCTCCGGGATGAAAAAAATGTTAGCAAACCATATTCCGTGAAAACCAGCGGTGACAGACAGGTCGAGGGAAATCCAAATATTTGTCGAACGATCAATGACCGTTTAACGGGTGCCCAGCTGATAAGCAACGTATCATTGTCCTCGCCGGCTATTTTCCTCGAGCTATTATCGACACGAGTGCTTTCGTTAATTTATCGAGTTCGTTGCACCCAATTAGGCCAACGAGGGGGTAATCGGGTTCGTCGGCCGAGATATCTTGTGGTCGGTTCAACGAAGGAAAAATAGACGATCCCACGCGAAACAAATGATGTATATACGCTATATCAGTATCGTGTGGGTCACTTCGGTTCAGTTGCGTTCGAAATATTCTGTCAGTCGGTTTCGATCGCGTTGGATAATGGAAATAGAAGGTGGCTGGAGGTCTAATGGTTAACGGGCCGTAGTTGCGGCAGGTTAGTTCTGACCTACGGAGTTAGAGCCGGATTAGGGAACCCCGATGTTTTATGTGTGCGCGCGCGCAACACGTCTAGATCCCGCTCACCTGTGATCCCGACTTCTACTTTCCGTAGACGTAACCCACGTGTTCCAGACGGAGGTGCGAAGGCACGTACACGCGCGCGCAAGCATGCGACGGGTTAGGCTGCTTTCACTCTCCGAGTGTTAGTGCAGCCGATATGTCGTGTGGCAGGGGAACGCACTACATTCACTCTGATTGTGTATCGGAGTGATCAGTGCCGTATCCTTTGACGCCACCTATAAGCAGTTTTCTTTTTTAGCAAAATTTTTTCTTAGAGAATATTCTAAGTTTACTCATAGAACATGCTCTGAAAAGACACCTGATACACCTGATCTCAGTCTCAACTTTTTAATAAACTTTCGTATCTGTCGGAGAATATTATCGACAACTTTTTAATTCTTTAACGCTCAATGTGACGTTCACGTCACATGTAGGAAATTATATCTTCAGGGGTTTTCTTGTGGAAATACAGACGTGGTGCACGTATTGGGACCATTTTTGAGTTAACCAATCACTAGAAATAGTGTTTTCCCCTAAAAGAACTGTTTGGGCATTAAAGAGTTGAAACTAAACAAAACAAATTTTTTAAAATAGGTGTGTTTAATACCGATATTTTCGACTTCTACATAACAAGATCCAACATATATATATATCAATCTTATTATTTTAAAATGACGATTTAAGGGTCTGTGTGTTTTAACAAAGCATTCAAAACGTTTAGGGGGCACGTTCACTTCGAAATCGAGTTTTCTTTAGCAAAGTATGTATTTCGTCCCTGTCACCCATCACGTCACTTGTTTATCCCTCCGTTTTGAATATCATTGTCTCCGTCGTTGTTTATAGTTTAACCGTGGAATTGTGCGTTAAAGGGGGGAGATATATTTGGCGCGAGGTTGAAATTGCGTAAAATAGGACCACCCGTTTCATAGCGACCTCCGCGATCCCTGGTTACAAATTTATTTTATTCCGCGGCGTTAGGCCCCGCGTACATATACATATATGTATAAATAATATATATATACATATGTATGTACATATGTATACATAGACCGGGAGCCTCTGTCGGCGTTCACGTGTGCTACGCATAATAAAGGCTAGGCGACGAAGCTTCTTCGCGCTGCCGATAAAAATCCTTGATCCTAATGACGGGTCAGCCGTGCCAATTGGCCATAGGAATAAAACGGTTGGTGCCTTCGAGGATACCATCGACGACGGCTTAATCTCATGCCGATAACGGTCGAGACACTATCAAGGCGCGCGGATCGTCGAAAAATCTGATATTTTTCAACTGACAAACTTGCACTGCAGAGTTGGGCACAATTTTATTCGAACAATACATACTGAAATGTAGCCAATCTAAGAGCGTTATCCTGGCCTTTAAACAGTTGAGTTTAAATAATTATTTGCAAAGTGTTTACTCATTTAAGAAGAAATATGTTATTATAAGAATTGGAATTTCTACATTTATACTTTTTTTTCATCTTTTATTCGTTATTCGAACCTCTTTATCTAGATAATGAATTTGCCCATCTCTGTTGTACGGTCACGCCGTCATCGAACCTTAAAACTGTCTTCCTTCGAAGAATAACATACCAAACGGAAGTCTGAGAATGATCACGAGCACGTGTTAAATGAAGCTTAGTAAATAATTAAATTATAGTAATTTATACATCAATTCCACAGAAAAATACTATTTAATATATAGAATACAAGTTCGTATTTGAATTCAAAAGACAATACATGTAGTAATAATAGTAGGGAATATTTAACCATAAAGACTCGACAAAAATTGAAGGAACAGCCTCAATTTTGAGTAGTAGGGTTTTTAAAAACTGATTTCGAAACACAGAGACCGAAACGATTACAGGGTTAATAAATCAACAGTGTTTAGAAGCTTGACGGTTCGAAAAATAAAAAGGGGGGGCGCGACAGCGTAGTGATACACCGGTGTCCATCAACGTTGCAACGCGCAGGCGCCGCGAAGCCGCGGTACACCACGCCGCGCTGAACTCACTCGCGCACCGCATCGCACGCCACACACAACACATCGACTAATAACGTGCACAGGCTTCGATTTGCAGTTAACCCGCGAAAGGAACCACCACGCGGTCATCGATAAAGGAAAAGCAACAGCTCGTCGTTCGACGCCTGGGTTTTGTAGTACGGTGTTGTTGTAGTCGTCGCGTGAGCGGGGACAGAGAAAGTGTACGGTTTAAAAACAGCAAAAGAAACAAAAGAGGGGGGGGGGGCCACTGTCGTTTTCAAACGGCTCGACGGACCGGTCTGTTGTGTCGAGGCGACGTAAACACGGTCGCACGAATCGAAACAAGACACGCCGAGAGTTTCGCGCCGGTCGGTCTCTCGTGGCCACCAGCCGTACACACGCACACAAGAGCGAGAGAGAGAGAGAGAGTAGTGAGTTGTCAGAAAAGTGTGGCGTATTCATACGCGCGCGTATTCGAACGTCGACCACGTACGGGATCGGGTCGTGTTATGCCAGCTTCGGTCTTGTTTACACGTGAGACTATCGGGAGGACTATTGGAACGATCGACCGTTGACAAGGCGACACACAAGACAGTATCGACGTGTGAACTGAGAGGTTAAGTGTACAAAGGGCATCCGCGGAGACTGTTGAAATGACTGTGCAAAAGTTTAAACCACGCGGCGGGAGTGCGACGGAGGAGCAACAATCCGGCGATATATTGACACCGTCCAACGAACCATTGGACAACGATAAAGAACAATCGGCCCAGATCTGCTACCGCGGTGCGCCCCAGGATAGCGAGAATCTGTTGGGACGAGTGCTAGCTGGTAAGCTTGAATCATTTCGATTATAGAGCATGGTAGTTGTGTCGGATGAAAGGGAGAGTAGCCAAGCATCGTTCCCCTTGCCGGGACGTTCGATTTTCGATCGTTAGGGGTGACGTGCGTGTGGATGTTTGCGTGTATCTGGTCTAACCGGAGTGATAAAAACATTCCAAACGTAGCCCAGGGATCTCGATTCAGGTAGGAAGGAATAGAGAAAGAGGCGGTTTCACTTTCCAGCGGGGTTGGAATGTAGGTCGCGGGGCCCGGGACGAGGCTAGTTCGTTGCCCTCGGTCGGCGGCCTTCCACTCGGCGCTCCGGCAATTTTTCTCCCTCTCTCTGTTCTCCCCCACCCCACTCTCTCGCACACAGTCGCGTTCTTTGTCCCGCCATCGGGTACGTGCTCCCTCTCTCTTATTTTCGCTCGTGGTTCTAGCCTAGATAGAGTCTCTCTAGCGGGGCTCCCACCCTAGACTTCTATCCCCTCTATGCGCGGGTTCGCTCTCGTTCCCTCTCTGTCCCGTTAGAGTGCTTCCACGTATACCTCTCCTCGTCTACCGGGACGTTCGTGTCTCACTCTGGCCTGAACTCGTCGTGAACTCGCGTCGTATAAGAGAGACGGTCGGTATATCTCACTCTCTCCCTCCCGTTGCTCCGTAGAACAGGAAAGTAGGTCGGTGGGGCCTTGGCGCGAGGCTAGTTCGTTCACCCTGCCTGGCCCGTAACTGGGGCAAGATGAAATTAACCGAGCGGCCCGCCACCTCTCGCCCCACCGCCTCTCCTCTCGCCTTCTCCTACCTCCTGTTCGGCAAGTAGAGTGAACTCCGCGGACTCGTGTGGCCAATCGCCGCCGGGCCGGTTCAACAAACTCGAACTGGGTCTCCCTACCGACCCGCTCCCGTCCCCTCACCCGCCCGGCCCCTTTGCCACGCTGAGTAGTTTAGCTACTCGACCAACCTCTCTCCCTCCCCCTACCTACCGCTATCATCGAAGGTCACCAACACACTCGGCCTGCCTGCCTACCCGCCCGTCCGTTCGCCCTCCTGTTCTGTTCTCGCGTAAAAGAGAGACTGATGCGCGGCTCTTTGTACAGTTACAATGAGCCGTTCATAAGCGTTGGCTACCTTTTTGTTCAACCGCGACCTCCCGCGGTTTTCTATTTTCAACCGGTTGGGGGGGGAACGGGACCTGGACACACCGCTTCTTTTTATTGGAGTATCGCTCCAATTTGGTTACGGTCAGCCATGGGGTGGGTAAATGACGGTCTAATGAGATTTAGGGATCCTGTGTATGACACTAAAGGGGGAAGCTATGGGGTCAGGGCTGATGCTACCCCTACAGTATTAGATGAAGCTTTTCCTAATACTGATCACTGACATTCGTGTCTACGACAGAACAACCAGTTAAGATATTCTTAAGATTATCGTGCCCTGCTCCGTTTGTGCGTCGAGAGAGTGCACATCCAGACGCAAGAGAGAAGGATAGTAAGATAGTAGCTGCGACAAGCGTGTACGCACACACACACTGGTCCGTTCAACCGGCTGAGAATTCTCCTCGTAGACCCCGTTACGTAACCTCGCGATAGTGAATTACGTGTTGACTCTACCTACTCACGAGGCCCCCCCACCCATTCCGTCTCTCTTTTTCTCCCGATTTCTTTTCTGACGGGCCCCTACCTCTGTCCCCCCCGGAGAAAGTACATTACAGCCGCGCTGCTGGACCGTGATCACTCTCGCTAGGCGCTACGGAATGCTTTCACCGTTTCCCCGCGCTCTGTTCCTCGTCACGGTGCATCCGCCACTGTCGGGGAGCACTGACCTGCCTCGCTGAGCGTAACTACGAGGTGGGTCGTCGTGTACAAGCCACACGGTTCACCTACCAATTGAATTGTTCCATTCCGTTTACGATTTTATCATCAGCGCGCGCGCGCACGACATCCTAATACCCATCAACTGACGCTTCATTCGGCAAGAATGCGTGCTCGATCTCTTTCCTCGGTTTGGGTCCGCTGGCCTCTAACAGACGCGTAATTTTAGCGCATGTGCAATCCACTGACGCAACGATCCTTCCTTCGGACCTTCTTTACACCTTGGTTACGCACGGTTATTCGCTTGTCATCGAGGCGATTTCAAAAGACGCGGGATTTGGGTGACTCGGACGCGCGCATGGATCGTAGAGCAACCTAGGGGCTAGTGCGCAGGCACTTGGCGCCTCAGTTTTGCGTCATCATGTTCTCCTAACAGTATTTCGATGATCGTTGTGGTCCTCACTAAACTTTCTATCTCTCCCAATACACTGTCGAGTCCTAATTCTTTAAATTATGTATACTATATAGACTATGTATCATGTTACCTAACTTAGCCTGTTGCCTGATCCACGATTCCTAAATCCAGAGTGTGATTTACCAGTTGCTCGCTGTGTTACCGATTCTGGGGTCCAGGGCTGAGGACCTAGAGCAGAAAGGTAACAGTCGAGATGAAAGAAAAGCTCGTGTCTCGACATCTTCGCGTCGCAAATTTCGTTGGGCATTTTCTAATTGCGCTTGTGGCCCGACTACTATGGCTAACCTCAAAAGCAAGGCACACGGGCAATGCCCTGGCCTCCTCCCGGTCCCCAGTGACCTCGATTGATGCGCTATGTCCTCTCCCAGTCCACGATTACCCCTCCTCCCTTTCCCTCCTCGTTCCCCAACCGCTCCCCCACCCAGCCCCCACTACCTGAGAGGAGCGTTGACTCGACATCGCCCAATCAGGGACCGGTTCGTCGACTCTCCGAGCTGCTCTTGGGGTCGTTCTAATCTCGCAACGTACCTACGCCACAAGCCAAACCGACGAGAAGCCCGATAAGAGTACGAGATCTCGCCCCCTCCGCCCTCCCCCTTCCTTCGCCACCCTCTAATCACATGTCTCTCTTTTTCTCGCCTGTGTTTCTTTCGACTGATTCGCGCTGCGTACCCGCGTCACCATCCTCGATTCACTGTTTCGCTCTCGCTTCCACCCAGCACGCCAAGGTGAACAACCTCGAACCGTGTCGGCGTCGAAAAATCGAGTCTCATCTCGGTCAGGGGGGGAGCGATTCGAAGGTTCACGGAGCGATTTTGGTGATCTTTTGGCTGAGCAAGAGATGTTGCCTTTTGCTCTGAATATAAATATATGTTTATACATTAATTAAAAAACCATGTATATTTTGTCTTCGTCACAGATTGTATTTTTTGTTACGAGATGACACCTGAATGACTCGTCGAATGTTCGAGATCAATACAATCTGTGACGAAGACGAAATATTCATGGTGTTTCGTCTATACTACACAATCTAGATTATGATGCGTTTCCACTTGTGTTGTGCCAATTGTTGATGTCGATGATCGGTCATCGAAGCGGGAAGAGTCTTCACTAGTGATGTTTAGACTCCGGATTTTTATGCACAATGACATTTTCCAAAGTAATTCATAAAGACAACAGCAAATATAGGAATATCTTATTGGGTTGAAAAGAAAATAGAAAACTTGTTGCATCTTACGAAGTGTTTCACAGAGACCTATAGACTATAAGTGCATAAGATCCGCAGTCTATTAACCTCTCAGGTGATATTCAGATATCTCAGAATTATTTACCAATAAAGATTCAGAAAATGATTGAGATGAGAAAATTCTGAATCCATCTCGCCAGGCAATTTTTCGAAGCGGCAGACGAAAAGTTTTCGCAACGGATACGCGATTCCGTTCTAATTTCCGAGTTTCGAAAATCCTAGACGCCCGGATTTGCAAACCTCCCGTCTGGCCTTCACCGGTCGTGACTATCTCTACGGCTGAAAAACTTTCGAACGTGCCTCGGGAAAAAGGACACGCACACATATATCGAAACGCATAATTTCGCGTCACGGTTGCAATCGTCTTTGAAGTGAATCACGTTTCGCTTTCACCCTGTGTGTATTACCTCAGAGAAGAATTCGCATAGGACTTGGCCCGTTCGCGTAATAAGCGTTTGGCCATTGTCTCCTTAATCTGTTCCTTTTATTTTTTCTCCATTCCTCATCTCGAACGGCATCAGGCCCCGATCGAGTCACGGTTCACCGGGAAGAAAGTAAAAGTGATCTGACCAGGAAGTTAAAACACCATCGGGAACGAAGGCGGTCCGTCCGGATGCCGATGAAAGTGAACGGTGTTTCTCTTTCTCCCGGTCCATTCCTTTCCTCGCGCGGATTCATACGTGTCGCGTTGGCTTTCTCCTCCGTTTGCTCGCCTCTCTTCGAAGGTGAGCGAGAACTTTCTCTCTTAACGAGCTTGTTAATCTTGTTAAATTAGTTCACGCGCATGGTTGATGGTCTTGAAACATAGGGTAGCTAACTTTTGACTACTTGATACCCTAAAGTCATGTGAAATCGTTGAATACGGGACGGTCATTTACCAGAGGAAATTATTTTAAATGATCATCGTTTCCCAAAGAAGTAACGTCAGTTGATCATCATTTCTCAAGGAATCGATTATCACTTCTGAAAGAAACGTCTTTAACCCTTATTTCAATATTATGAGACTGATATACGGATGTCGAAAATATCGATATTAAACCAACCTGTTTAAATTTTTTAAATTTATTTTTAACCTTTTAACCTAAAAATCTTTTGTGGGAAAAGAATTCTCGCGATTAGTTCATTAAAAAATGGTTCCAGTATGTGCACTTCATCTGTATTTTCACTGGACGTTAAAGTGTTAACCAATCAGAACGGTCAAGATTCTCCATCTCGCTGCTACGTCGTTCTGCTATCATTGAACAGATTTCCACACGGGTTAAACCAACCCCCCTGATCCAACGAATCTTTCCGAATTAAACGAACCATATCGACCAAACGCGGTGATAAAACGTACGATCGCACGGATCTCGCGTATTTTACGGAAATTCGAACAAGCTTCACGACTACTCGCACAGTTAACCCCCGGAAACTCGGTTGAGGAGCAGGTTACGGGCGAAGGGTTGGTGGGTGGCTGGGTTGGCCTGACGTTGCGAGG